GCCCAATCCTGCCTTCATAATGAGAGTCATATTATAAATTAATTTATATATCTGACCATTAGTAAAACTATAGAGCAGGACGTATGCGGAGGTTATACTCTAAACCTAACGACTTATAATATTGAAGGCACTGCGCACCTCCTCCATGAACAATTACGATTCAGCTGTAACAAGAAAGCACTCGACCCGAATCTGCGGCATTAGCAGCTCCCTGAATCCACTCCGCGACCAGCCAAGTTTCGGCCCCACACTTAAGACCGAGTATTGTACTGAAGTGTTACAACTCTGCAGTTTCATGGGGCAATTGATTAGTTTGAGCTCTTCGAGGGCTTGGTTCCTGATATTGCCAATTACTTCTAAGGTAATCGAGCAATTAAATAGGTAATAAACGTAAAGATCAGGATCATTTGGATAGATAATAGCTGCTTTTAATATTCCCACCCATGATAATTATAATAATAATAATTATATCCTGCACGGAAGTTGGCACTTACTTGCTGAAATGAGGGCCAGGAAAAGAGAAATTAATTCCACTGTCATCCATGAATACTTCATTGTTGTCTGGTTAATCTTCTGTTGCTTATAATGTATAGTTACTTCAGATTGTTTCATGTTCTCTTGGCCCTATATCGTTTGAGTTATTGACGGCGTCGTGAAATAAACAACCTATATAAATAAAACATTGATATTCTCAGATATAATCTGAGATAGAATGATGTTTTTCTTTCTTTGTAGAACACTCAGATACACTTAAACAGACGAAACTCACGAAATTCACAAAACACAAATTATCCAACAGCGAAACATCTGTTTTGTTCTTTCTACGGAGGTATGAAAATGTTACGGTGCAAAGAAGAGACGATCGTTTTCAAAACATATGGTTCTTCTAGCATCTTGCAGTTCTTACTGACGATAACAACATTTATACATAGTTTCTAATAAATAGCTATGGTTTTAAAGGTAACAATTAATGTTTTGCCTGACTACAGCGTCTAACATAACTTCAATTAAATCATTTCAAAATAAATTAAGACACGTTCATGTTGTTTATTTTTCATTCGAGTTATATTTCCATCAAAACGAGTTTCTGTCGGATAACACGAAACTGGCTGTGAATAAAATCACGAGGGTTCGAGAGAGTTGCAGCACTTGAACAGCTGGGTGTGTCAAGATCTTCCTCTAACTCAGAGTACAAGGATTCTACTAAAGCAGCAGTTTCCGGAATAAAATTCGTTGTTTTACTGTTGTCGCGTTATCGCTCTGCCTTTTCACGCGCTCACAGTGTCACATGTTTTGTCTGTGGTAGTAGTCACGGACAGGAATCAACTAAGCCACGGAGCATCAACACAGCACACGCTCGCCACAACAACAGACGCAGCAGCGGCCGCCGCCTCTGTCCAGACTTGCGCAGTCGGATTCATGTGTGCGCCAGCGTCCACTGTATTCATGCTAATATTAAGGGAGATAGACGTGCTGGCGTTAAATTGGACATTACACTAGCCTGAGAGTTTTAAGGGAAAATAATCAGATTCGAAAATTAGCGTACCATATGTTGGCCCTGAAGTTCTAACAGCGGCTACTAGAAGCGAAATACACAGCCTAGAAGTATAGGCTGTCCGTAAATCATATACACATGTAATTTGTCATAGCATGGTTAAGTATTACAGCTCTACAGTTCTAACAAGTGTCATTTGAATCTCAAAATCTGAAAGTTTTACATACTCGAAAGATGCTCGATGTGAAATCCATTCGTGACCAGACAAATGTCCATCCCATCTCATACTCTTTCTGACGTGTTCCTGTCAATTGTCTCTACAGCTGCGGTAATTCTCAAGTTCGGTTCATCAATATCCAGCGGTAGAGGTGGCACAAACGCTTGTTCCTTTACATAATCCCAAAGAAAGGAGACACAAGGTCCGCTGAACACTGGTGCACGAATTTGTTTTCGCGTACTCAATCACGCGAAACTCTTCTCTATAGGAGACATTTTTCTTTAATTGCAGATTCTGAAGGTAAAGACAGATAATATGGAGATATGACACCAATTTAGAATCTCTAGGAATTTGACTTTCCGCTGATATCGGTTATATGTGGGTATGCTTTGTATTTTCCTCGTATTTTATCCCCGAAAATGTATCAATCATTTACGGACACCTTGTATTTTCATAGCGCATCGTACTTGAATTAAACGAATAGCAAGCCGTGGTATCTCTACAGTCGCATTGGGTAAGTTCCGACTGTATGATACTAAGTTGGAAAATCCAACTAAAATGGTTTGACGTTATGAAAAGTAACTACACACGAAATTCCATTTAAATTTCAAACGTTCCTGCTCACTACATTGTAAAGTTCTTCCAAAATCGTTCCCGAAACTTAATACGATTTGTACTAATTAAATGGGCTATAAAAGCGACAAGTCGATGAAATTAGTGCAATGGCGGCCAGTAGCAGTAAAGAGGTCGAACTTTTTGATCCCCCCTCTCAGACATGTAAAGCAAGAGGGTTGGCGTTTCAGTAATGCTTTGCACTCGTATTCCAGAGATGCTGGGATCGAATCTCGGCCTGGACATGGATTATCCTGAGGATTCCCGTGGTTTTACCCAGTCTCTTTGGAATAATTACGGGATAACATCTGGATGAGCCCATGCAGCTTCCTTCAATCACTGTAATATTCGACTGGGTGTGTCATAAAATAACACACAATAAATTACTTCCAATGACAAAGGGGAGAGTGAAGAGTTGGAAGGCGCGTTGGTCTGTCTCAGTAGTGATACTGGAATCAGTAAAACAGTAGAGGGGTATAAACCATACGAGCCGAACTCTTGAAGGTGGAATGATAATATGACAGCCCGAACAACTGGACGATGGCACTTAAGAGCCATATTCTTCAAACAACGGAACCATGACGCGGTAGACACTCTTCTTCCGTTAAAGAGATGCAGTATAAAGGACACGAACCAAATTGGTTCTAGATTTAACAAAAATTGTTTTAATCATAATTGTAAATAGACTAATTACAATAATTTATAAACGTTTTAACAAATTCATGCACATTACAGTAATTATAATATTGTAATAGTAGTTGCTGTATGGATTGATAGTGCCCTTCTGAAGACGGTCATTCTGACCGAAACATGTAAAGGATGAAAGATTAAAAAAAATNCCAAATTTTTATCTCGTATAAAGATTTTAAGTAAGCTAAAATGTGGTAAGTTAATATATTAATATAATTCTTAATATTTAAAATGTTAAACTGCTAAGGTTCGTGTCTCCGTTCTCCTTCTATTAACGGGAGATTGGGTTAGATTGCCGCTCTTGGAGGTCCGGATAGTGTTTTTTTATATAGTTGGTTAAGAGTCTTCAATTATTCTGTGTGTATTTTATATAAAATTCTATATACTTAATATTTCTTTGACTGTATTCTTTTGTTCTGTGTTGTTCCTACCTGTGTTTGTTGTTGAGCTGCTTCTTCTTTCGTTGTTTCTTGGGGCACTGACTTGTGGTGTGCTGTGTGGCGTATTTATATTCCTGTTCATTCTGACGTGTTCATGGGCGTGTACTCGTGTCTTAACGCCATACCAAACATACTCTTCTGGTTATCAGTATCTTTTGTAACCTTTTGTTCTCCTATTAGTTCCTTAAATTGTTTAAATTTGTAAATATAGTAATTTCCTTTTATATTCAAGTTGTTACACTTTCAGGCGTATTCAACCAATTACATAATTTGTTCCATAGACCCACGATCATGGTAGCCGAGCGGTCTAAGGCATGCACTGTCTTCGCTCGCTTGGAAACCGGGATCGTGGGTTCTAATCCCACTCAGGGCATGTATGTTTAGTTTGTGTGTGTGCGTTTTTCTGTGTTTGTGTATAGGTAGAGGCCTTGCGACGAGCTGATCACCCGCCCAAGGAGTCCTACCGAGTGTGTAAGATCTAGAAAAACCGAAGTGAACGGAGAAGTTCATGGAGGTAGGCCTAGGCCCACTGGGGCTGTAGTGCCAAGGAAAAAAAACCTATTCGTCTTTATTAAACCTTGTGTTTCTTATGTGTTCCTTGTGTCTTGTTTTTAAATTTCGGCCCGTTTGCCCAGTGACCTTGTGACAGCTCTGGCAAGTCATTTTGTACATACCGTTTTGTTCGTATGTGTTCGTTGTGCGGGTGTCAATTGTTTTAAACGCCACCTTTAAGTTTGTGCCCTTAAACAACTTTGTGATTTTACGTATGTAGTTTCCGATGTAGGTGAATGTAACCCATGTCTGAACAATATAAATTTATTATTACGTGTCGCAATCATCATTTTGTCTTAACAAAGTCCGAATGACTTTGTCGGGCGAATCAACATAAAACAGCGTACAGAACTATAAGGCTTATTTTGGACTGAATCTGCCTCCGAAACGTTGTGGTTTTTTGTCTTATATATACCAGACGATGGATAAAGTCCAAAATAAGCCTTATAATTCTGTACAGCATATACCATCGTCAGAATCATTTCAAGTCTATAAAACAGCGTGTATATCCAGTGCCCATATTTGCATCCATTCGCTTGCAGTACGTAACGAATTATACGCGTACTGTGTAAGTAATCAAAAGTTAAATGCACGGGTTGGTCATAAACTGAGGCAATTCACTCACTCATGGGGCTGAGCCCTTCCTGAAAAACTGCAATTGTGCAGCTAATCAAGAACTCAGAATTTTATGGAACTTGCAGGTTCATTACCGTGTTCACAGGAGCCCTCCACTAGTCCCTATCCTGAGTCAGATAAAAAAAATCCATATCATCACATCCTATCTCTCTAAGATCCATTTTAATATTGTCCACCAACTTACGTCTTTGTCTTCCCAGTGGTCTCCTTCCTTCTTGCTTTCCCATCAATATCCTATATGCATTCCTCTTCTCCTCCATTCGTGCTACATGTACTGTCAATTTCATCCTCCCTGACTTTATCATTCTAATTATACTTGGCGAAGAGTAGAAGTTATGAAGCCCCTCAAACTGGAGCAATTATCTTAAGTAACACTAAGTACGAATATTATGGGGCAGAAATTGGCTGCCCTCATTTCTCGACCCAGGGACGAGATATCTTGCTTGATAGTGTTCGTGGTTTTACTCACTTCAAAGAGTTATTTAACCCTTTTAATATAAGTAGAGTCTAGAGGATGGTGTATAACACACAGAATTACTGGGTTCTTGGTCTTTTTCTACAGTCTGGTATTCTAGAGAATATAAAACACGACGTTTCGGAAACTGGATTTGTTTCCGTCCTCAGGTGAAGGGGGAGAAGACACTTGAGGAAGGAAACAGATCCAATTTCCGAAACGTCGTGTTTTCTTTTCCATAGAATATCGGACGATGGAAAAAGTACCAAAAAAAAAGTAATTCTATGCCTTTCAATATAATTCCTCTAAGACTGTAAAAATGGCTGTGGCGACCGCTTTATCTCATTCTCTGATATTTCCCTCACGTTGATAATTTCTCCTCGTTGTTAGCAAGAGAAATTTGCATAAAACAGAAAGAAATTGTGCATACATCGGATAGACCTACAAAGAATCAATATAATCGTCGTCGACACATCTGAAATTTCTGAATTTTGGATTTAAGCGATTTCGGAACTACAGGGATTAAAACGTGCTCCTGACTGCCTTCCTCATCTTCCCTTATTCGCCTTTCAGAACATCTTCCCATTTTGTGCTGTGTTACTTATGCAATTGGAAAACGCCGTTAGGAAGCAGAAAATTGTATAGCAAAACGCTTGCATTCATTTTAACATCTGACATCGCCGCTGTATTGTTGTTCATGCACCAGTAAATAACTCCATTTTAATGAAGCAAGTTGTATTTTGATGGCTTTATTAATGGTGTATGTTTACAGCCATATAACCACATTACTTAGTGAGAGCATTATATTTGGCACTAATGAGTATTCGAAAGCAACAGGTACAGGGTATTTCGAAAGTAAAACTCTGGCTTCAGCTAACGTTAATAATGCCCTTAACTTAAAGGTGTTGCAACGACAAATAAAAATTATTCGTGCGCAAATGATGTATGGTATTAATTTGTTTAATGACGTATAGTCATTCACATGAGCCGATCAAAATGGCCGCGCTGTCTAAGATATGAAATGTCTTTGTCCGCTCGCACACTGGGATCTTGGATTTGAATGTCACTCAATGCACGGATACTTGTGTGCGTTTATTCTGTGTTTATGTGTAGGTAGAGGCTTGGGACGGCTGATACACCGTCCAAACACTCTTGCCGACTGTCTAAAATTAAGAAACTCAAGTGAAACGAGCGTTTCACGGATGTCCTAAGTAG